CAGAGGATGAGCTGGGAAAGGATGAGGGACTTATGCTGAACTCAAGACATGGCCTCTTTGTATCGTGACAAATTCCACAGGTTGGGTCCCAGTAGAGATTTACAATGAATGAGGGCAACTTTCTTGGAAGTCCCCATCTGGCCTCTTTCCCCCAAGGTTCAGTGGTGCTGCAACACATGGTGATGGTGTGATGTTCTCTTTCCAGTTTCAGGACTGGGGTGGAGTCCTGAAGGATTGAGGGACTCATGGACACAAGCATCACCAATCAAAACTACCAAAGCTCCCAAATCAAAACTAGCAAAGCCCACCAATCAAAACTACCAAAGCTCCCTGTCTGCTTTACTAACCCTTTCCATGCTGACACATTTAGTAGCTGAACTGTTACAAAGCTACTGAAATGACCAAAAAGAGTGCCACAGGCACTGTCTATGAAAAGTCAATACTGGAACTATGTTTTAGCAGAGAACGTGATGCTTCCAGAATTCAACAAAAGCTGCGTGACCAATATCTGACCACCAGGGACTGACAAAATGCTGACAGCAGAGAATGGGCTGACAAAGGTTGGATTCTGCAACTGACTGTCTGTCTGCCTGACATCTATGGAAATAAAACTGTATAAGGCCCCTGCCCACTAGCCCCGGTTTTGATGGGGGGCACAACTTAACGACATGTAAACAACACTTGGATACTTCTACCATTTTAAACTTCTTGTTCTCCTATACTCTGTTCTGTTTGCAGAGATTAAACAATTTCTTGCTTTGCTGTACCTGTTTGTACTGTGTTTGACACAGGTCACAGACCCCTGAAGCAGTTTGTGAGGGCTGAATTCAGGGCCCTGCGCTCACTAACATGGCCAATACAGAGGTTGCCATGGCCCTGGCCTCTTCTAGGGTGAGAGCCTCAGAAACATGCAGAAACAAAACACCAGACAGAAAGGGAATTTGGTACTAAACATCCCTGAAAATCCAGCAGCAGATTACATTTCTAAATGTAGTTCAAGGGATACCTAGCTTTGAACATCTTTCGCTCACTTACAGTCAAGAAAGGAACTTGCTGGTGATTCAGTGGGAAAATCAGCCCTCGGCTGTGACACATCTCAAAGAAAACAGGGAGAAAATAGGAGGTATGTGTGCTCATTGTTTGCAGAAGGAGTGGACTATAAGAAATACGGCCATTTCCAGCCCCATATACCAATGACTAGATAGCACCATCACCATCAGCAATACTAAAATTTTGGTCTGTATCCTGAAGTCAGTAGGGACCTCCCATGAAGGATGCCAGATAGCCAGTAATGTAATCTGCATGAAAAATAGGGAGGAAAGGTTGAAAAATCAGTCATGTCTCATTATTTTCCCTCTTTCCAACCACCTCATGGGTTTCAGCACTTTCAGCAATTGGGGATTGTAAGGTAAAACATACACAGCTATTCTTCCCAAGAATGCCAAAGCAGTGGAAGGATTACAAAAATGGTTTATTTCAGATGCAAGGACCACTTTTTTACGATTCAGCTCATCTGACCTTCAGGGCAAAAGGCAAAGCCCCTCCTCCTACAAGGCTTTTTGTATCTTCTCTCTCTCCTCCCCCACTTTCTCTGGCCCATGGACACCTTGCACACGTCTGCAAACATGTTATCTCTCTGCATATCAGAGAGCAAGGCTGAACACTTCTCTTGCTATTCGGAGGTGGGGTGAAAGCATTGAAACTGCCTTTGAGAAAGAGCCACCACCTAGGCAGAAAGCCCTCCTAGCAACTTCCTAGTTCTAACTTTCCGTTACATATTCTTCCAGAAATATATCTATTCCTATAGGGATCTACATCCACTTGCCCTCCCTGTTTTCACCTGTTTGAGAGAAGGCCTTCTACCATACAGCACCTTTTCAGAGTATGGCTACATGAAATAATCCCTGCTGCAGCCCTCATCCAGACGACTGGACTGACAACAGGGAGATGTGTGCATGCTAAAGCTGTGGGATGGCCTGCTGAGGGCATAGCAATAGCTATCCTCCACCGTGTTTGTAGAAATTACAATAGATAAAACGGAGAGGAAGGGTGAGCTGATCAAAATAGGCAGTCCTGTCCTCAGCCCATCTGGTTGTGGTCTGGTGCCCTCCTACGGCAAGCTGGGGCGCTCGTCCTGAACTCCAGCTCTCTGTATTACTAAAATGGACCGAGCTCAGCTGCTGATTCCAGCTGACAGAAAATACAGCTTCCGAACACCCCATTTGCCATTCCGGTGTCAGTCCAAAGTAGAAAATCAGCACCCTGGGGCACTCAGCCTCTCTGTCCTGCCAGGGAAGCCTTTGTGGAGGGAAAGGACTGTGTGCTGCTCAAGGAGCAATTGCCATCCTGAGCCTGCATATGCTGCAGCTGGTGTTGAACAATACATCCCTGCAGAGAGGGTGCAGATCTGCGGCTCTTCTCCCTTAGTGACACCTTTTGGTTGCTATTGTTGGGGGTTTTTTCCAGTATCCGTATCTTGGCAACACAGGAGCTGTTGACTTGTGGGACTACGAGATCGTCATGAAGTTCAACAAGTCCAAGTACTAGGTGCTGCACCTGGGTGGGGGCAGTCCCAGGCATGAGTACAGACTGGGAGAGGAACTCATCAAGAGCAGCCATATGGTGAAGAATTTGGGAGTTCAGTGGATGAAAAGCTAGACACAACCCAGCAACATGCTCTCAGCCCAGCCAGCCAACCGGGCTGCAACAAAAGCAGCGTGGGCAGCAGGTGAAGGGAGGGCATTCTCCCCCTCTACACTGCTCTAACCTGGAGTGCTGCATCCAGCTTTGGGGGTGTTGGCATAGGAAACACATGGACCTGCTGGAGCAAGTCCAGAGGAGGCCACAAAGATGGTGAGAGGACTGGAGCATCCCTGCTATGGAGACAGGCAGAGAGGGTCAGGGGGAACCTCATTGCAGCCCTCCAGTGCCTTAAGTGGGCCTATAGAAACGAAGGAGAGGGACTTTTTATACCAGGATATAGTGACAGGACAAGGGGCAATGGTTCTAAACTGAAAGAAGGTAGGTTTAGATTAGATATTAGGAAGAAATTCTGAAATTCTTCACTGTGAGGGTGGTGAGGCATTGGCACAGGTTGCCCAGAGGATGCCCCATCCCTGGAAGTGCTCAAGGCCAGGTTGGATGGGGCTTTGAACAACCTGGTCTAGTGGAAGGTGTCCCTTCCCATGGCGCGGGGGGTGGAACCAGAAGATCTTTAAGGTGTCACCTCCCCGCGCACCCAACAGGCCCGCGCGGTGACACCGCCTGAGGGAGGACACGGCGTGGCCGCTCCTCCCGCCCGCCTGGGGGCGCTGCCGCGCGGCCGCGGACTACAGTGCCCAGCATGCCCCGCGGCCCGGCCGGAAGTGGCAGCGGAAGCGGCGGGCGGGGGCGCCATGAGAGGCGGTGGGTGCGGAGCCGCAATCCGCGCCCTGGCCGGCCCGCTCTGCAGCCCCGGCCACCTCCGCATCCCCGGCCCGACCCTGACCCCGGCATGGCTGCCCACAGCTCCTCACAGAGGTGAGAGGCGCCGTGCTCGGCCCACTGGCAGGCCCCCACCGGACGGCGGCAGCCTCCGCGCTCCGTGAAAAAGAACGATTGGAATTGTTTTTCAGTATTTGTAGTATTCAGTGCGTCTTAACTCTTAAGTACAGGCATTAATTCGGATGCTGTGGCTGGTTTAGGTAGAGCCAGTTCTTCAGAGTGCTCGTGACTTGATTTATCTGGTAGTGGCACGGTGTAACTTCCCTGATGTTTAAATGGTATAATGCTTTTCAGTAGATAAGGTGCAGAACAGCGTTTTGTTCAAAGGCAGGCAGCCAGCAGTGTGTTAGGTTCGAATAAGAATGAATTTAGAAGTAAAAGGGCTGCTTAGATAACAAGGAGTCTATCAGAACTCGATCTGTAATATTCAAAGCCCCACAAAGATAAGGTGCGGAGAAAGATATGCCTGAAATAGGAATAGAAGCGGTGAAATGCCTTGTGGGAAGGCACTCACGTAATAAATAGAGAGGATCTCTAATATCCATTTCTGAGATATTAGGTGCAGGCATCTTATAGCTTTGTTGCCCAGTTACTTTCCTGGTGAACCAGTAGACTCACTCTGAAAGTTAGGCTTGCATAGATTTCTAAAAAATAAAAATATCTGTAGGTTTATCTTCACACATGGCACTCTCCTTGCTGGAAATGGTAGTGACAGAGGAAAATGTAAAAAGAAAGCTATTGAGGAATACTGTGAAAATGGGAGATTTAGATTGGATGTTAGGAAGGAATTCTTTACTGTGAGGCTGGTGAGGCAGTGGCACAGGTTGCCCAGAGAAGCTGTGGATGCCTCATTGCTGGGAACATTCAAGGCCAGGCTGGATGGGGCTTCGAGCAGCCTGGTCTAGTGGAAGGTGTCTGTGCCCATGGCAGGGGGTTGGAACTAGATGGTCTTTAAGCTCCTTTCCAACCCAAGCCATTCTATGACAAGATAAAAATCTGTTGGAATTAAGGCTCAGCAGTTTAAATAAGAGAACAATGAATACCTAATTGCATTAACTCACTGAATGTTTTAAACATAAGAAGATTATTAAAGGGATGTTTCCCAAATATTATAAAACAATTGGCTGAGGTGCGTTCATTTCTGTTGTCTCAGGTTGCTTGTCCTTGCACAGTTACATGGACACACTTATCACTGAAATATGAGTCCTAGTTGGTATAGATTTCCTATGGAAAAGGGATTGATGGTTTCTGGTGTGTGTTGTAACCGAGCCTTTTGTTGCAACATGCATGCAGCTTTTCTATGATGAAATGAATTAAAATTAGTGTGTTGCATGATAAGCCAATCAAGTTAAGTTTAAGATGTTGTTTTGTTGCTTCCAGGTTTTGCTGGCACGTTCATTAGGAAGTCATATGATGTCAGAAGAGTCGATATCACTCCTCTGGAGCAGAGGAAAGTAACTTTTGATACCCATGCTTTAGTGCAGGATCTGGAAACCCATGGTAAGTGATATCTGATAAGTAATTCAAAGGAGAACTTTTAGTTCTAAATACTGTAACTTTCAGTGCTGTCAGTTTCTCGAGAGTGCCAGTACTCGGTGGTATAAAATATTTGGCAGCCTGTCGAGGCTGGTGAAGGAGAGGCATCTCATCTGAGGATCTGATCCGTTATATTTACCTCATTTGCAGCTGTAGGCAAGTTTATATAGTGTCTTCCAGCTGAGGAACATAATTCAGCTAACAAATGTAAAGTAAATAACAGTTAAAGACTGTTTTAGAGCAAAAAGGAAGCTTTAATAGACATTCCTGCTACAGGCCTGCTGATAGTAATTTAAGGGTTTTTTGTAACTAGAAATATTTTCAGCAGCATAGTGCTGTGATACATTCTTAATGCCTGCACTTTCATGTTGTGAGTGTGACTGGCTGAAGTTAGATGAAAGGCCCATCTAGCTCTGGGTTCTGTCTCCTGACAGCAGCTGTGAGTCAGTGCCTGAAGAGGAGTGTTAAAACAGGGCAGATGTCTGCAGCACATCCCCTTGTACTTTCTAAGCCTCCAGTTGCTGTCACTCTGGAGGTATTTTGGGTCAGGTGTGAGTTTTAGTAACCTTCACTGGAAATCTTTTCACAAGCTTATTCAGTCCCTGAGCCACTATAAACTGATTAGCACCCAAAACGTTATTTCTCTTGGAATTTCAGACACCCTCTCCTTTTTTTTTTAATGCAGAATCTGGCTTCTATGAGGTGAATTTGATGCCCACTCAGCTCTTTTGTGGGAAGAGGAAATGAACATTTGATCCCCCATGTCACTCATGATTATGCAAACTTCTGTCAAATTCCTTCATCATTCTTTTTCAAATAGAAGAATCCTAGCTTGTTGCATTTTTCCTTGAGCAGCAGCTTTTCCATATTTCTGATCATTCTCAATGACTGTTAATAATTTTGACTTCTATCACATTCCATTTCACAGGGGAGGGAACACAGCTGCTGGCGTTACTTGACAGTTGAATGTCTTGTAGATTTGAACAGTGATGTAAAGTTGTGTCTATTTTGTTCTCTGTTCCTTTTCTTAGTAATTCCTAAGAGTTTGATTTGCTTTGTTGGTCCTTACTAAGCCTTGAGCTGATGTCTTCATTAGACTAGCAACCACCTTGTAAAATCCTGAGTGACAGTAGAAACTTTATACAGTTGGTGGTTGGAACGTCATACAGTTGGAGGTTAGGATTTTTTCCATTATTTGGGTCTAATAATAATATCTGTTAGTAGTTAAAAGATTAATAATAGTCTGCTAACAATGTTTATTTTTTTCATGCCTGTCAGACTTGACGGCTCGTACTTCCCTACATCTCTCTAGAACTGCTTTTAAAAACTGTCATTGTTATTTCCCAGTCCATGGGTAACCAAGGTAGGCTGGGAAATGTTATGTGTGCCCAGGACTATTTCAACTATTTCTTCATCACGTTCCTTTGGAACATGTGGGGTGAGATCAGTCTGGTGCTGGTTGTTACTCAATTTCATTTGTTCCATAACTTTACAAATATTTCAATCCCACAGTGGCAGAGCTCCATAGGTGAAGCCTGTACACACCACAAAAGTGAGAAAGCATTTTGGTTTATCCCAAGCTTGCTGCAGACAGTTTTCAGGCTCCATTCTCTTGCTCATAGGAATTTTTCTACATTTTCCAAACATCCACGCAACACGAACAGTTCCTGCTATAGAGGAAGAGCAAAATAAGCAATTGGCAAAAGCCTAAGTAACCCTGAAAATTCAGAGGAACGGAAGCAATACTATCACACCTCTTAGTGGAAGGAAGCTGTCGTAAAGCATGCATACCTTCCTTAGTCATGTAAACCAATGGTGCAGCTTGACAATACCAGTATTTTGGAAGGGAGCAGTGGCATAGTTCTCTAAATAATTTGCCTTGAAAGTCTTTTTCAACAAAATGTTAATTGAACCCATTTTATAAAATGGGTCAGTTGAAACACATGAGTGAAATTGCTGAAAATAAATCTTCAGGGCAAATGCTCCCAGCACTTGGCCAGATTAAAGTGATTTTTTTTTTCACTATTCACATCATATAGCACTTCAAAATTGCACCAAGCCATGGACAAAGTGTAATTTTTATCACTGAAAAGCAAAAATCCCAGTTTGAGTTCGTTCTACTAGCAATGGCTGCAGCAGTTTTAAAATCAGTTTTGCATGTGTTCAATATCTATGCAGAACAATTCCAGTATAGGAAGAATTACCTGTTATTACTCTGTAGGATGCATGCTTTATAGCTCAAGGTAAGTTTGGCTTTAACAGAATCTGTGGAAGTTCATTATGAAGTAAAGTTTTCCTGAATTATTTTTATAATGCATGAACAGTTAAGCCTTGATGAGAAATGTGGTCTTTCTGTCAGCTGCATGTATAGGCTTTTAGTATATTAATGTGCTTCAGATTTTTGCAGTCTGTGTTTTTTGTAGTTAAATGTCACAGGGACTGTCTCCTGGCTGTCAGTTTTCAGGAATTGTGTGAATTCCCATGTGCCACTGTAGTTAGGTATGGTACTTGAGTGTCCCAGGTTATTGTGTAGCTCTTGCTCTTCATCCAGATTTTTGATAGCACCTTAACTTGCCATACTTCTGTTGTCCTCTAGGCTTTGGGAAGGAGCAGGCAGAGACCATCGTGTCGGCACTAATAACCCTGTCGAACGTCAGCTTGGACACCGTCTATAAGGACATGGTCACGCAGGCTCAGCAGGTAAAAACCAGTCTGTGGTGTGTAGCTGTAACAGCTCATACTTGCATCTTTAAAGCACAAGTGAGCAGCTCTTGCTAGTACTACGAAGACCTCACTGTGCCAGGTTTTCCCAAGTTTCACTTGGGGTTTTAAATGATAGTTAAATGCCCTGACCCAGCTTCTGCTGAAGTCTGGCTGCTTCGTTGAACACAATGAAGTTTTTTCAATTCCTAGGAAAACTTTGGTTGTATTTACTCCGAGGAGCCTCATCCCATCTTGAAATATTCAGTCTCAACACTGACTACACAATAAAAATCAATGCTTCTGCCTAACACAATTCCATGCAAATTATATCTGGGTTACTGACTGACTTTGCATATAATAGGATTTCCAAAAAGAAATGTTTCCATTTTGAGGGGAAAAAAATAAAGAGACAGAAGTTCTTGTCTTCTTCTGAGATTTAGAGGAAGAAAAAAAATTTAAACAACTTTTATGAGAAATAAATGCCTTTGAGATAAAAATCTGTTGGAAGAAAGGTTTGGCAGATTAAATAAAATAGCAGTGAATGCTTAATTGCATTAAGTAATTGAAGAAGAATGGCACGTGATTTCAGCTTGCACAGCCTTCCTGAGTAATTATTAACACCATCACTGTGCATCAGAGCTTTGTTATCCAGCCCAGATGTCTACCCTACAAGAAAAACTCCCTTTGCTGGAATACAGACCAAGGTGCTGACCTGGCCAGCACAGACTGCCAGGTTTATACCAACAACTGAGTCATTCAGAGCCCACCTGGTGTCCCCAAGGGCACATGACACAGCACAGACTACGTCCAGGTGGCTAAAACCTCTGCCTCCTAAATCAAGGTGGCTCTGTCCACCCCATCTGGTGGGACAGCCCTGGCCCTGTGCTTTCACACAAACTGTCAGGGAGGCAGAGCTGCCACAGGTCAAAACCAAACCAGACACTCCAGTGGCTGTGGCCAGCCATGCTGCTGAAGTTTTCCCAGGAGTTGTAACAATATCATTGTGTAAAACAAAGTAGTCAGACTTCAGTGGAAGTTTGGTCAGGGTATATTTTATTGAATTTAATTCAGTGCAAAATCTGAGAAATACTGTTGGTTTGTAGTCTGAGTGAGAGCTCTTCATTTTGCTGGCTCTCAGCTTTAAAAGTAGAATCCCACAGAGATATGTCATTGTCATTATGACATTTCTATAAATAATAGGGTACCTTCCTAATGATGGCTGAAGGAGATTTCAAGATTTTAAAGTACTGCATTTCTTCCTTTATTTTCTGGGGTTTTTTTCCTCTTTAATTTCTGAACTTGTTAGTTCAAACCCCAGGAAGACTTTTTTCAGTGCTCTTTAAGCAGCGTTTTTACATGTGTGTGACTTCACTGTGGAGAGGATGGTGTGATACTTGTATCAGTAAGACTTGGGCTTTTGATGATTTTGTGGGCAAGAAGTGGAAGTGCTTATTAGGAATATTCAAACCAAAAATTAATGCTTCTGAAGCTACTGAACATTCACTGAAAATGGAAGAGACTAAAGGACTAATCCGTAGTTACACATATATTTTATTTCATAACTACTTGGACTAATACCTCTGGCCTTTTCTCTTAAATTCAAAGCTGGTGCATTAAAGCAACAGAAAGAGCACAAAAGGCAAACCTTTCAAGTCTTCCAAACAAATTGCAGCTATAAAATTCTGTTTCTGCCACTTCCTTGTTGGAGATGCTCCCCACTTTTGTGCTTTGGAGTAGCTAATTTCATCATTTTGGACCTAAAAATCTTTCCTTGACTTGCCAGAAAGTGTGCAACATAATCAGTGGCATATTTTATTCTTCCAAAGGAAATAACTTTACAGCAGATAATGGCACATTTGGACTCCATTCGAAAAGATATGGTCATCCTGGAGAAAAGTGAATTTGCAAACTTGAGAGCAGAGAATGAGGTACTATTACATATTTTTCATTAAGGAGTTTAATTGCAATATATGTTGTACATTTTTGTGGAACAAAATATGAATGTAAAAATAAGTCTGGATACTTCCATCAGTGTTGAAGAGTTTATAGATTACAATTTCTGAGATCACATAAAAATATATTTCACATAAGACTTGCTCTGGTTTTCTGTAAGGAAAAAAAAATCTACAGGTCTTACAGTCATCTTTTGTAATTTTATTTAAAGGTAATTCTGGTAGTTTGTGGCCTTTAAACATATATTGCAGAGGGAAGAGTCAGCCGTTTCTTTGAAACAATTTAATTAAGCTGGTGATTGAGATACATTTTGCTTTTACTTGATAGCATTTTGGTATTTTTCTGCTGTCTTTAGTCTCAGAATAACAAGATCATAATTTTTAGAAAATAATCTCTTTATTTTGAGCCAAATTGTCAGCAGATTATATGTGGCTGTACAATTGAACACATTATTGAGGATATTTAATCAAGAAAAAATTGCCCCATCGGGAGAAAAATTAGGGAAGAATAATTGCATGCATGCAGTGGTAAGAGTTACATGACTGATTTGGTTAGCAGCTTCCTGAATTTGTAAAATCTTTTTTTTTCTCTCCTCTGCACTTAGAAAATGAAAATTGAATTAGATCAAGTTAAACAGCAGCTAATGGTAAGTAAATAGCAGTACCTACACGCCCCTATTAGGGAAAGTAAATAGTTATTTTCATAATCTTTATTTTTTTAAAGAATGAAACTGGTAAAATCCGAGCTGACAGCAAGCTGGACATAAACCTGGAGAGGAGCAGGGTGACAGATATGGTAAGCTGGTCTGCAAAGATGCCCTTACCAGTTCTGTGTCATGTGTCTGTTACTACACTTACAATTTACCTTCCATCCACAGTTTACAGATCAGGAGAGGAAACTGATGGAAGCAACTACAGAGTTTCATAAAAAAGTAAGTATTGAATAAAGCTGATTTGTAGTCATCAGGATACAGTTACACATTGCATTTTACGTACAAACTTTCGTGGAAGTTAATAGGGTTTTGGATATGGTTAAGCAAGAGTCTGGGCTGTATCACTCATGGCTGTTGCAGGTGTTTCTTGCCTTAGAGATGAACACCAGTCATCAGAGGGAGGCATGCAAGTCTTTTCCCTCGCCTCCCAAGTACCTTGTTGCAGGCTGTTACGGGTGGGACGTGTGCTGTCATGCCGTACCAGAGGGATGGTCCAGGTGCCTGCAGCCAAGCATTTCAGGGGCTGGAGGTCCTCAAAAGCTGCTAGATGGCACCAAAGTCTAAAAGACTGAGAGGGACTTGTCCCATCTTCAGCATCTCCTTCTTTTTTGGGATATGGCTTGTGAATGCTTAAACCTTTGTTTTTCAAAAATGTAGGAATAATGTGCTGTAGAGTGTCTCCTTTAGGATGCACTGGCATATCCGATAAAAGTCTGTATCATGAGGGTGGTGAGACAGTGCAGAGGTTGCCCAGAGGGGTTGTGGACTCCCTGTCACTGGAAGCATTCAAGGCCAGGCTGGATGGAGTTCTGAGCAACCTGGTCTGGTGGAAAACGTCCCTGCCCATGGCAGGGGAGTTGGAACTAGATGGTCCTTAAGGCCCCTTCCAACCCAAACCATTCTGTGCTTGTGTGATCATCAGAGTTTTCTCTCTTTCTGTCACTTCAGTATTCTTCTTGGATTGGATTAAATGGTGTTCCGTGTCTTCTAAGGTCTCGTAGCAGTTAGTAATGTTTTACTTCAGTGATAGGTTGGAAATTCATTTCTTGTTGCTAGTAACAGAGTATTTTAGTTCAGCTTTGCAAAGCTAAAGGGTTAAACACCATTGTCATTATATGCTATCTTTTAATGTTTCAGGATTCAAGTACCAACAGCGTTATCTCAGAAATCAGTAATAAAATTGACACTGAAATAGCTTCCTTAAAAACACTCATGGAATCTAATAAACTTGATACCATACGTTATCTGGCAGGTACGTGATAGGCAAGGAGGTGAGTGCCAGCCCTGTATCTTGGATGTAAAACATTTTATTCAGGAGTATATGCTGAAAGAAGTCAGTAGTAGGAGCAGACAACTGGGATTGGGCGGGGGGAAATCTCCCCCCAGCTGGAAAAAGTGTGACACAGAACGCAGAACATGGCAGAGTTGCTAAAGAAGTTCTGAGGTCGTCTGGGTTACCCTAAAAGTTTGCTGCCATTTGGGACTGGTCTGAGAGTGATCAGTTCTGCTTCCCATTCAGTCTCCACAGACATACAGTTCAGTGTGGCAGCACTTGTACTTTCCCCTGCCAAGCAGAATAAATCTCAGTCTTATTTGAGATTGTCTTCTCAATATATACATAACCACCGAAGTTTTTATTGTGTTGGAGCTGGGTAAAAAGAGAGTAATGCAGTATATTTGGAAGTGAGAATAAATTCAAAGGGAAGTGCAATTAGCTTTATTCTGACACTAATTGAAGCAGCAGCATAACAAATCTGAAAGACAACTTGTCAGGGATGCTGCCTGGATATCCCAGTGTTGTGTCAGATACCTGTAGCATCAGTTCATTGTCATTTGGTTCAGTGGAAAATCATCATAACCACATCTAATGCAAGACCTGGTACAGCATCTCCTGTAACACAGCTTCCAGTAGTAAAAGTTCCTGTAGCCTGTGGTGCACTGAGTATCCAGTGTAGCTGTTCGGATGTGTCCCTGCAAACACGGTACCTCGGGCTGCTGAATTCGGCCCCCCATCTCACCAGCACAGCGCTGCTGTGCAGGGTATGACATCTAAGGCAAGCCACTGTCTTCTCAAATTGCTCTGTCACGCCTGCAGCAATTCAGGAAGTTTAAGAGGCTCTTCTCTAAAGTCATTACCATTTTCTTCCATCTGTTTGCAGCTGATTTCCTGTACGTATAAAGTGATACATTTCGGCATTCAGCTAATTACTTCCTTTCTTTGTTTGTTTGTTTTAACAGCTTCAGTGTTCACTTGCCTGGCAATAGCACTGGGATTTTACAGGTTCTGGAAGTAGATCTGAATGGAATGACTGCATCTAATACAGACAGAGAAAAGACCACCCAGACCAGCAGTAGTTTGATGATCATGTTTGCACTGTAGACAACCTTTGTACCTTTTGATTTGATATTCTTACCGTATAAGAAAAATGTTTTCTGAATATGTAACACTAAAGATGAAAAAAATTGGGGGAAAGTAGCCAGATAGTAATATTTTGTTGTCTCTTGTTCAATAATGTATTTATTTCAAAGTATTTCTTATCCTATACCACAAAGTGTTTCCTAATATTTTTTAGAATTAAATTTGGTTTTCCAACATTCTCACTCTCAGCTCCTCTTAAAATGGAAATATTAAACATTTTATATGCCCTTGAAATGAAAATACAGTTCTCAAATTAGTGTTCCTGGTCAGATTCCAGGATATCTTCTCTGATCTAAGTATAATAATCTTAAGCATAGGTTCTGGATTTTTGTCTTCAGTCTGTTCCTCACTTTTCTGATGGATTGAAACCTGGTCCTTTGGGGTTTTTATCTACATATATAAAAACACACTCCACGGCCTTTACTGAAAAACCCCTTTTTTTCTTGAAAACTGGTTTACATAAAGTTAAAATCTTATGTACAACTAAAATGTCTCCACAAATTTATTTTTTTTAGTATCTCTTGCAATTTCCGTAAACCCAGAAGTCAACAGGATGGGGGAACTTCTCTCTCTTTCCAAAGGGAAATGCCTCCACTCTGAGCAACCATGTACAGCCCCAGGGTAGATAAGTACTCTTAATTTCCCCCCTTCAGGTAGTGCAGAGTATTTCTAATGAACCCACACCTATTTTCTGGGCATAGTATGTGGCTTGTAACATGGAAATACTCAGCATCCCATTGGTGCCAGTGTGGTGGTGGTGATAGTCCTCCTCTTCCCATCTCCACACTCCTTGGGACTGTTCTGTAATCCTGACACACTGACCCTCCTGACCCATCTACCTTCTGCAAGGACTTGAAAACTTTTGTTGCAGAGATGCAACATAGCAGGTGAATACCTTCAAAACTGAAGCAGTCACATCTCAAGTACAAATGCATATGCTTGGTTTGATTCTTGTAGTAAAATAATAATTTTTAAATAGTCCTTCTGGATTAACCTTGAAATAAGAATAGGCCCTTTATGGGTTTAGGACTATGGAGTAGTGAGTACTGGCAATTTTTTTATTGTAGTTTTATTCTGTTTACAGTTGAACTTGCTGGTATTCTGCTAATTCTTATATTCTGTGCATTAAATTATTTATCATCTTCATTCAAGAAAATAAAATTAATTTCTTATATTTGCCATCTGACTATCTGAGTGTTCCTATATCAAAGGTTAGCACCAGTGGTGAGGTAGGAAAGAGCTCATCTATTGCATCTTCTCACCAACATCTCACAACCCTGAAGGGGCTCTTGAGACTGAATTTCTTCTCTTAATTCCGATACAAGGCTTATGCTGTTAGTGTGCCTTTCCTTCACTGTGCACACAAAAACATTGATTTTTATTTTTCAGTACCTCTGATATTCTGAGATTGTTTTCTTTGGTACTTAAGGAGAGGACATATCAGGACTTGAGCACTAAAAAAAAAAATCTGAAAATGAGGCTTTCCAAAGGGAAAATAACTTCACAATAGCACGCAGATGAGAGAAAAAAATTTTTATGTGTAGTCATTAAATGTTTTTTAGGTATGGAGGAGAGGTCAGGGTTGCCATTTCTAACCATGGCGTGGCACATACCCTAATAAACTCTTCAGCCCTGAGTCAGAGGCCTGCTGCTGCTGCAGTTCATCTGGCACCTCACAAAGGAGTCACTTCCTGGCTTCTTTCAGAATGACTCGAAGATGAAAATCAAAGTGCCCGGTACCTGTCAGCAGCTGAGAAGTAATTCTTCTGGAGACTGTATTCTACTTCCACACTGAAGGTCCTATCTGAATATTCTAGGAGGTGATGTACACTTTTTCCTTTCTAAGGTCACAGTACAAAATATACCAGGAGACAGAGGTACTTCCCTCGGAACTGTGAGGGCCTATGACATTGCTGCTGTTAACTCTTGAAATGTCAGTTTATAATTTGCACAGCTTTTGCTAAACCACGTTTTCTGCTGCTGCACCAGAAAACTAAAACCACAGTTCAGTGAAAGGCAGAGAAGCACAACTCATCTGTGCTTTGCTGGACCATGCAAACACTTGGCGTTGTCTGGAATATTGCCTTTCTACCTTTGCAGTCTCCTGCCCCTCCTTGGAGGGTCATTTCAACGTAGCCTCACAAAGACTCCTCCTGGGCTGCAGGCTGGCTGCTTCTTGATTTTCTTTTTGTCTTTGCAAGACTTGGCAATTGTCTCAGCTTCCTGAAACAAAGGATATTTCAGCCATTAAACAGCAATCACTGAGAGGATTTAAAATCTATGGCTATGAGTAACCACAGAATGCTGTGTTCAGACTGAAGCTGGGGGCAGAGCATGGTCCCAGGGCATGGCATGGCAGCACAGCAGTGTAAGTTGAAGGCCCCTTGGCTGTAGCAGTCACTCAGAGCAGTTCTTGAAAATAAAGCTGTCATGGTAGTTGTCCCCAGTCCCAGCCAGTAAACCTAAAGCTCAGCTCGACTTTTTCAGACTGCTGTGGGTACAAACAACTACAGCCACTCTTCCACCCTAGGAATGGGGCACTCGATGCCATAGTTGTTCTAGATTTTTAAACCTGCCAGGGAAGTATCATGAATCATGTCTTAAAGCAAGCTGTTATTAGCCTGGGGTCAGATGATGACAACAGGATTAAAATTCTTGAGATGAAAATTCCTGTCCTTTTCCATGAACCCTAATAATCCACTTAAAAAGCTCTTTTGTCTGACTCACTCCCTCTGGACCACTGAATACTGAAATACAGTGGTCACACTGTACAGCTGCCCACAGGGGAATGAGTATGGCTCCATCTCACAAGAGCAGATGTTGGGCTGCTTAGAACACTCCTCCAGGATGGGTGTTCTTGACTCCTCTAAGGCAGACGAAGGAGTTAAATCTGAGTTGCCCATGTTGCCAGTGATGAGTTCTTGCCTGACTTTTATCCTGGATATAGCAGAGCCATACAAGCAGTTACACAGACAAGGCAGTGCAATGGCCAGGGAAGTTAAGTGAAGCTCCAAGAATAGCCCTGCTAAGTGCCTTTTCCACTGGCATCTTTTCCTTAGAAGAACCAACAGGATTACTGCACACCAGTCTCCACACCCACAGGAGAAGTAATTTAGGCACTTCATCCAAGGCTGACGACTGGATGGTAAAAACCTGAAAAATAGGATTTCGACTGTCACATCAGTTTTTGAGAGTTATATTGGCAGTGATAGATCTGAAATGCCAGCTCGCCTGTCCCCAAAATTAGCATGTGAACTTCTGATCTATCCTCAATATTTCATTTTTTGAAAAGCAACAGTTTTTCTGTGGTTGCCTGCTAAGCCAACCAATAATTCATATCTGTCTGTATATTCTTTGCTGTGAGAGGGCTGGATAACTGGGATGATAACAGATGGCACACAAGAACACTCTCTGCAATCAGCCACTGCACACATCAATAAAGTCCTGTACTACAGTCCTCCATCAGCTCACTTCCCAGTCTGGTGTAAAAGAGAGGAAAACAAACCTGTTTTGAAGGAGTTTTGAAGCAAAATAAATATCCTGAAGTATGAGCTGCAATTGCTACAAAACCTGCAAGCCAGGAGGTGGGGGCTGAAACACCAGGTTGACACCTAATGTGAGCAGCCAGAAAGGCGACCTGGTTAGAAGGGGAAAATTACCAGGAACAAAAACACCAGCTGAAAAATGCTGACAAAGAAAATATCTGCCAGCCAGGGAATTGTGAGGCTGAGAACCAGAAGCATCCTTGAAAAGTGCAGCTGGCCTCGTCGAAGTACAGCTGCGGTACCTGGAATTCAGAGCCATACCAAGATACCACCAATAAGCGCAAAAACAAGGCACTGTAGAAGCAATTGACTGAAAAGGTGGAAAATAGTCTGGGTAACAAAAAATGGTCTGAAATAATAGAAACCTCATCATCTATTAGCTATACAATCTATGCTGGTCAAAAGTAAAAAATTAGAAATGGAAACATCAGCATCTACTGGCGGTTTGCAGTAGTGGTGTCCTCTTCCCTCTTATGTCTCTATGATATAAAAAGGCCTTAATATTTAATTCAAAATGGAGCCTTTCTGTCTGAGAACTTCCCATGCTACACATATTTTTCCTTTCCTAAACAGATTGAATTCTCTGCACAAACTTTCTATGAGATCCTGGACTCTCACTCAGGATGCCTGGATGACTCCAGAATGTGACGTTAAACCATCTTTGAAGTGAGACCCTGTTATTTTCTTTGTCTCCCTCTGGGGGCCCATGGTTATGATCTCTCAACCCACAGGCTGGGCACTGGCTTTAGGTGATGACACCTCTCCTGAGGCACCAGACCAGTGCCAGATACCAGGTACCAGCCAAGAGGAACTGCCAGTCACTGTATATGCATGTGGAAGTACTCAGGGATCAGTACACTCCTTTTGTTATAATGCAGGATATTGGTGCTTCTGTGCCAGGATACAAAGAGAAACTGATATCCTTTCACAGCAGAGACACTGTTAGGACAGACAAAGGCTCCTGCTTACTTCCATGTCCTAAGCTAAAAGCTGCTAGCACGTTTTCTCTAGTGTTTCCTAGCACCATGCCTGGGAATCTTAGAAGGAACAAATATGCACAACCTACAGGCTCTATCCCACGCACCAGGGGAGTGTGGCACTCACCACAGGGACAGCAGGGGGGATGGAGGTTTTCTCCAGGCTCTCCTTAAGGTGGCTTATCTCAGCACGGTAGTCATCCAGCTGGCTCTCCAGCTTCTCCCGTCTGACTCGCTCATACTCCAGCTGGGCCTCCAGCTCCCTCACAGCCCTGTCAAAAGCAAAGGAGACAAGCAGAGCATGAAGTACATCCAAACCTGCCCTGGCTACTCCACGTGGTCCTGTGCCTTTGCCCGGGAGCAGGTTAGTCAGGCAGAAAGCAGTGCAGTACTCCTCACACCAGCTGTGCTCCTGGCTCCAGACCCTTTGTAGCAGCTCCAAAGAGCAGCTTTTCCCTCTCTGCTGCCAGCTGTGCTCAGCGCAATTTGACCACGAGATGGAGACGTCTGCCCACACACCGAGCCCAGCGCTCGGGCAGCCTGTGATCGGGTCCATCTCCAGCTGTGGGAGAGGAAGAAGTGCCCGAGGAGCAGCTAAGTTATTACGAAATAGAGAAAAAGCGTAAGGCTGGGATTCTGGAAGGGTCAGGGGCAGCTTCTTCATCTACAACTGACAGCACTACATCCTTCCTATTGATTGGCTTAGGCACGGATGAGGAATACTCAAATAACCTTGAGTATGACCCTTTCTCAAGGGAAACTGAGGCACTGGTTTATGCACAGTTGCACAAGATCTCACTGGTCACACCCACAACGGCTCCTAATTACTTGAGATTCCTCAGACTGTTTAGCTGAGACATGATTCACATATATTCTTATTATAACAGCTATTGACTTCAGCAACTGAGTCATCTGGAATTGAGCTGGCTCTCTCTTACATCAGGATGAATTAGCCCAACTACAAAGATGGAAGATCAGTAAAAGGAAAAGGGAGACATCTGCCCTATGGATTCAAACAGCATGGCAGGAAAGCTCTCATCAAGAGCTAAGGCATTTCCCGGAGCGAAGAATTCCTGATTCATGGGGCCCAAAGATACCAACCAGCCTTACAGACACCGCCAGAGTGGCCTGTGCTCAGTGTTCAGGGGACTGCCAACTTCTTGCATGCTTCAGATTAAAGAGGCGCAGCTCCAAAACTGTGTGGCACATACGTGGTGGCAATTTTCTCCATGCAATGCAGTCTGGTTAAAGAAAGTCCAGAAAACATGGACTAAAGCAGAAATCTTCAAAATCTGTTACAGTGGCCTTCCCAAGTAGCAACTTCTGCTTTTAATCTAGCAAAATGGTGTTGTCATTAAATATTTTTAAATAATAGGTTTTCTGCCCTATGATACAAGCATCTTGGAGTTTATCTACAGATAGGTACTCTGAGAAGGGTAGGTGAGTAGGCTGAGAAGCACTATTTCCATTTGAAAAGGATAGTTTTGGCCTAGGGATGCTTTCCAGCTTCCACAGGTGAGAAAGACTCTTCAGAGCCTCACAGTTTTTCTAGTTTAGCCACCCATGCCACAGAAAGCAATGCCCCTTGTAGAGCCTCATCAGAGCCCTCTAACAGGCACTGCTCTATCCAAAATGAATGCTAATGTATCCATCATCAAAAACAGATTTCTCCAACATAGGCATCAACACCTCAGCTGGTCACCCTCCTCCTTTGAAGCCGGGAGAGACACTCCTAGAAGTGATGAATCACATCCTGAAATACATGTGCCTACGTCTCTCCAAGAAGTCTAAAAAGGAGCTCAAGGTCCCTAACTGAGATGCAGGTATCTGTTAGCTATTGCAGACTTATCAAGTTAACAAAGATGGACTTCCAGCCTGGGCTGAGTCAAAGGGTGACTTGGAACCAAAAGAAATCTTGTCTCAGTTTCTTGACTAAGATATGGCTGTAAAACAAACTACTTACTGGCAATCTGTGACACCTATTACCTGCTCCAGATCTACACAGACTGGTAAGTCTGCTGCCTTCTTGATGGCATACAAGCCCTCTGGGGTCTCCTCTCAGTAACCAAATAAAGACAGTGATTTGGGGTGGTCCAAACACATTATGGAGGTGGTTATCTACAGAGATAACTACTGAGATCTCTGGGTAACCAAATCTTTGACAGGTAGAGGTGGAGACAGGCCTGTCTTTGGACGCTGCATTATTATTTAAGCTCTAAATCTTTGATAGACAAAAGGACTTTTCTTTGAAATGCAGTCTGCCCATCAAATCACCTGACCTGCCTAAGAGAACCTTTTGATTTAATGGAGACAGAGAATTAGACAGACATTATGAATAGTGCTTTACAGGTAAGAGCAGGTTTGCTGATAATTCTTTTCTTCCTGTGGTCTGTATACAAGCTAATGCTTTCCTGAGCATAGAAATATGTTGCCCTTGACACAGAAATGTAGCAGGTCACTGAATAATTTCTGCTGTATATGCACTTTCATCCAAGCCATGCTAAGATTAATTAATGTCTTTTTTCAGATTTATTACAGTGCATACACATCTTTGGCATCCTCAGTGGAAACAAAACAGCCAGGACTTATCAGACCTACTGCACATATACCACAGGAAAACCTGAAGGCTGAATAGATGATCTTGCCTAAGAAGCGTGGACCTATCAAGCACTTCTGTAGAGCTGGTTGTAGAAGTTTAGAAATGGTCAAATTGCTGCAGTCCATTTCTTTTTGACCTGGTTAAAGTTGGCAACTGGAAAAGATAGACTGGCCAAGGCAAATCTGAGTGTCTGTCAACCTTAAAAAAGGCTTTAAAATGGGCCCCACAAAGTTAAACATTAGGAGGGCAAAGTGACCTTACTTCTCGACTTTCCTTTCTTCTCTTTTCACCTTCCTCTCCTCTTCAGTTATTCCTCCCAGCTGTCTGTAGTTGCTGTAGGCAATTTCTAGAAGTTGCTGAAGTTCTTGAATCTTGTGATAGGCTCTCACTGTAAGACAGAGTTCTCCAGGTAGGTAAAATGCATGGACAAGACAGTCATGATGGAATTCAATAGTCTGGAAAACAGTCTCACAAACACAGAGCAGAAATCACACTGCTCAGCAAATACTGAGCTACAGCAGACACCCACAATGCAAAGAGATCTCAAAAACAAGTAGCAATCCAATATAGTTTCCAACACGGATTAAAATGGTGTAACAATTATGTTCTAATTGCTCTCTGCTATGTTTTCTAATTTTTCACAATTTGTTTGAATACCCAGTGGTACAGATATCCTGTCAACTATCTCACCTTACAAGAGAAAGGTCCCAGCAGTTAGCAGGAACTGTGCAACTAAAACTATAATGTCTTCATACCAAATTTTTCAAACAAGGAATGATAGGAATACAGTGCTTACTGCGTGCGTTCTTTTTCTCTGCTTTATCCAGGGTTAGATCTTCTTTGCTATCTGTACTCCCTTCCACACCATGTCTTTCAAAAAACTTTATGTTGTTTGCATCTAGTTCTTCATCACTAGAGTTACTATCTCCAGTCCTTGGTATCAAAAGTTCCACAGCTGCCAGATGGGCACATCTGCACAGAGAACAGTTAAACCTACGCTGAAATATCCCCATCATCTGGAAAAACACATATGATAGAAACTCTCTGAAACTGTCCATGTTCCCATTTATCAGGATTAAAGGAAGCACTGGGACACACACTATGAGCAGCTATCCATCTGCTTTTTGCAATATTCTTATGGTGTGAGCTCTGCCTCAGTGGAATCTTATGGCTCCTACATCAGAAGTATCTTTTCCCTTTGCAGGATTTCTTAATTGAATCTCATCATAAACTGCATTATTTTTATTAATGCAAAAATCATCTGGCCTCCACTACTTCTTAATAACTTTGTACAGCAAACTGTGACCGTACTGGCTCACAACTCTCCTTTTTCAGATCAGCTATTTTTCCTTTTTTATGTTTGACCTTGCTGAAAAGGAAATTAAAATAAAATAAGGGAAAATGAAAACCTTTCATAGCTACATTACAGCTTTGCTTATTTCTCAGAGCTGGAATTCATGGGCCCGATCTGTTCTTTCTCCATCACTGAAAATCAGGATTAATTCCAACAAAGCTGACATGATATTGATATACAAATAGTAGGTAAATAAATGTCAGAGCTACAGGATATGTACTGCTACCTCTTGGCTACATCCTTTGGAGTCTCTCCAGCATCATTTGTAATGTCACAGTCAGCTCCCATTTCAATCAACCACTGTAAGCAATGGATATGCCCCTGTTCAGCAGCTAAAGGAAGAAAGGTGCACACAAGTCAGTTATATACAACTGCAGGGTTTCGAACCTAAAATGTCCTCCTCTTGTCACTTTTTGACATTCCAGAGGTTGGGTTCACTAAGACACAATAGGGGAGATACTATTTAAGCGACTGTGTCAAGATGCTCAAATCACACGGGTACACACAGTTTTGGGGAAGTGTGGTTTGGTGACTCTTTCTAGTTCCAGAAATGTACTGGCAGCTCTTCTTCCTGGACACAAGTTAAACTAAACTTGCCCAGTTCCATGTGCTGAGCATGAGACACACAAATCACTGCTGCCTCACACTCTCGTGCAGTAAGGCCTGTGTGTCATAGTTTGGCAGCAAAGTACTGTCACCTCTCCCTGGCTTTAGGCTCCCATGTACCAGACACAGCTGGTTGCCCCATCCTGTGGTGTGCAGAGCTGTCTCGTGGAGGAGAGCAGCAGGGCTTTCTGCTGGAGCTGTAGGTGCATCATTTCTTAGGGCAGACACTCAAGGCAACACTTCTCAGCAGCAGCCTCACACGAGCCTGGTCATAAGATCTGGCATGGCCACTGCTCATACCAGGGGGTGCCAGGAATGATGTTTCACATATGGAAGACGATATTTGGCAAGTCTAGTTAAAACTGTACACTATTTTTCTCAAGGAGGAGTAAATTCATTTCTTGACAGCATTCCCTTTTGGATATTTGTTATATTTGTCTTCTTACTGAGATAGGGAAATGAAATTACAATATCAGGATGTAAACTCTGGGGATGAAACAATTGTAGGTTAGCACCATTCCAAGAAAAGAAAGAGGGAAAAAATGTAGAAAATATTTTAAAATCACTACATATCTCTTTTTTCATGAGAACTTCAATTATGTTTTCAAAAATTCTATCATTATATCCAGTCAGAAACAAATGTGGGAAAAAGCGGTAAAAGCATATTGCAAAAATGCCTCCCTATTTCTTTCCTCTCCCATTTTTCTCTTTCAGACATCACTACAAAACCCCCAAACACAAGAGGACTATTTTTTTGTAGTGCTAGCACACCACTACATGTCAAGGTGTTAGATACCAGAAATTAACCAAATTACTTTGTTGTGGTTTTTACAAAACACCCCCACAGTACTGCTATGTTCACTAAATAAAGGCCCAGGCCACAATACAGACCATTCTTATACCTAACCAGATAGATGTTTCTAAAAGCCACATCTTGCCTGATTAAAAAAAAAAAAATAATAAAACCCCCAAACAAAACACTAAACTAAACTAAACAAAAAAAAACCACTATTTAGTTTTCCTTTTAGATGTTGATATCTCCCTATTCTAAACTTTTTTTCTTGACTCCAGCTTGGTTATTTTGTCTTTAAAGTGACACCTACGCACACGTATACATCACAAAATATGTTTTTCGGGGTTGCACTTCTGAGCCCTCAGGAAATGAGATGCTGTTTTTCATGAAGTTCATCTGATGAGCAGCCACTTGAAAAACAAAGTAAACCCGTCAGCAACAAACAGTAACAAGCTGAAACACAGATAGCAATTACTGACCTTTGTGCATGAGAGTGTATCCCTTATCATCCCGCTCATTGATATTGATTACTCCACTTCTCACTAATCTTCTAAGCCCTAACAAGTCCCCTTTGAAAGCGGCGTCATGAGCTGGGAAAGCTAAAACTGAAAATGAAATGCACATGTTTCCAAACAGATGCCAGTAATTCTACTAAACGTGCTGGTATTTGTCTCTCACAGCTGGCCTCTCTCATAGCAACTTACGTATGGATGCCTTGTATTTAACGAGGTTGTGCACCTTAATTGGCAAAACGCAGCTGTGTAACTAGCAGTGTTCACCACAGACTTGACTAAACATGTCTTGGTTATAACTGCAGGCATCTTACACAGTTAAGAAATTATTTTCACAGACCTGAAGTAACAAGTATAGCTTTGTTTTACGATTGAGATTGTACTACTGGTGGTAACTGGAGTAATTTGCCTGTTTTGAATTCCAATTATATAAACTATTATACTTCTCGTATTCATACAGACAATTTGATTTTTCCAGTTATCTTTTATAGACAAGGTCTACGGACAATATACTTTTATGCATAATGAAAAAAGACTAGCAGATAAGGACAGTAAGTTCCCAGAAGTAGAGAGGTGAAGGTGCAGTTCTCATATCCGTGTTCTGCTGAGGGTTCTCCTTACAGACCTTGCCACATTTGCATCCTTTGGCTGATCTGACTGCCATAGTATTGCTAGTTAGCAAGTAACCTTAATTTCAGCAGGACATTTTCAGGCTAAGGTGCTATTCAATGCAAGTAAGAAATTCTGTGCAGACAAATCTGCAAACCAATGAAAATTATACAGATTTTCTGGATCTTTGCTGGAGTCTAAAAAGTACACAGGCAATTTGGTATCCATAGTGCAACACTGTGATCAAGGATAAACCTAAGACATTTATAAAATCACGCTGAGTATCCCAGACTTTAGCTACCAGTAAATGTAGTAAGCATTAAAAAGTTCTTCCTTATATTGATCATTTGAATGTTATACTTCTGCTCATACAAGTTTTCAGAATCAAGCATTTCTACAGAATTATATATAATGTCTATTTTAACTGTATCTTGATCCATACTCACCTTCCTGTGCCTCTGGATGCTCCCCCTCTTTTTCCATACCATCAATATATTGCAGAATATTATCTTTATAGAACCGTTCAGCCAAGTCCCTTGGAGTCTCTCCTTGGTCATTCCTGGCTTTCAGGGTGTGTGTGACACTGGCCATTTTCCCAACCAAGAACTTAAAGCAATGCAAATGACCTTCCACTGCTGCCAGGTGGGCTACAGCACAAAGTGAAACAAAGTGCATTAGAGTAGAGCCCTGCTGCCTATGGAGAAAGCAGTGCTCTCACCACTGCTTAGATCTGGATCATCCACCAGCATTTGAGCCATCCAACACTGCACAAGTTAGAGCAGCCTCAGTTCAATTGGGCATGTTCTACTCCTACCCAGGACAGAGGTGAGCTCTATGCTAAGGAGGTAGAAGGACAGTGTCAAGGACAGGATCTGCAAAGGAGTTTCCCTGGCAGAGCTGACTGCAGAAAACAAAACAACACTCTAGCTAAGAGAGTGCACTGCTGGGGTCTCATCTTCCCCATGAACACAAATCTCAGTCTTCAGCAGCTGTCTGACCTCGCTGTCCTGGGGGTACTCATTATGGAGGGACAGCAAGTGGTGTCCTTGATTAGTAACTAAGGCCTTTTCTGCTTTATGCCCACTGCTACTGTGCCACTACAAACAAGTTGTATCACATCCCCAGTCACCCCAGCTAAAAAAGGAAGACAATGATATGCACTTTACCAGGTAAAGTATCTGAAGGTGCATTCCTCACCTGACCCTCAAGCCATGAAGTTATTTATTTAGTTAGTTATTTCTAAATGGATGATTGCTCAAAATCTGAGCTTCGCTGAAATCACGGCCATTTTTCCCATTGTCTGAATTTTATTCAGTGAGTGAGTTACAGGGAGAAGGGAAAAGAAGAGGTACAGTGCTAAAGGCAAGTACTGATTAATAGTCAGCTGGTGAAAAACTGACTCAACTCTTATGAATCCATTTTCAGATACCTAAAATCTCCAGGATAAAACTTCACCTCTTGAGACAAAACATTTTTATCAGATGTTTGTCCTGTGCAGAAAGCAATCAAAAAAGCTCGACTTTTTCTGCAAAGATGGCAAGGGGAAAATAGATTAAAGAGCTGTGTTCTGTTCAAGTCTTTTTGCACAGTTTCAGTGGAATGCTGTGGAATACACATAAAGGAATTTTTCATAGGTGGCTTTTAACCTGTACGTGTCTTAGTAGCCAGTACCCAACATGAAACTGTGCCATCCCACCCTCAGTCGTGCTGAGCACCGGCAGTTGAGACTAAAGTCAAAGGGTACTGTGATGTTAACACAGTAACATCAAAACATGCAGCTTAGTGCCAAGAACTTGGAAAAAACGTGTCTCAGGCATGATAAATAGGCAGTGGTTAGTTGGTTTTGGTATCCCAACCTCCCTGTGTTTCATCTTGCCTTTCATTAAGTCAGGCTAACGCTACTCACCCTTCTCAAAGCCACAAGTGAAAAAAGAATGCAAAAAATATTTATAATAGGTTTGACTAGTGAGCAATAAAAGAAGTATGGATGTAGCCCAAAAATTAATACAGAGAGAAAACAAAATGTTGAATTAATAAGCACAGCCCATTCTGTATGTTGAATGAGCCACAAGATTTTTTTCTTAAAAAAAATTAGCATGCAAATTAGCCAAGGTAATTAGAACCTCTGCTGTAACACACACATGCAAAAAGGGCAGCCAGTTTTTAAGTTTTAGATGTCTGGCACTACAACCTCAGAAAATTTCTTTCAGTATTCTCTTGATAAAAATCATAGCACTCTTCAGCTAATCTTGAAGCTGAAGCACGTAAAGATGATTTAAGTTCACTTCACTGTTATACAAGCTGAGGCAAAACTCTTTTACTAGTCATGTTCCAAAGCATTTTCTTTCCTTTGGATGACAATATGATCAAATGAAATAGAACAAAGGCTGGAAGATCAAGCTTCTGTAGGATGTCAAAATACAACATAACCAATTTTCTACTAACCAGTATATACAGAGCATTTAAGTAGAATTGGGCTGTCATCTGCTATCTCTCCACAGAAGTCTGTTATGGGGGAAGTGTTCCCAAATGCAAATAAAGCTGCCTTCTACACTGCCGTCAGGGTGCCTAACATCATGACCCCTTCTTGCTAATGCACCAGATCTCCTGCTGAGATGCAGGAGCCTCACAACTTCTAACGAGACCCAGGTTTGCAAAGCAGAACATGGCTTTCCATTTCCTAGGTAAGTAGCGCTTAATAGAGGGTAAAGAATTTTAAGAAGGGATTCAAAACGAGAACCTCATACAAGTTATAGAGAAAAAACATTCTCTTTGCAACAAATAAGGTGACAAACCATAAGAAGGAAAATGTTAAAAGGGAAAGGATGCGATGAGAACCCAAGGCAGGAACAATACCATTCAGCTTACAGAGGATATTGAGCCAGAGGCATGGTAGGCAGAGGGACACTGGAGAAACTGTGAAGAGCAAGGAATAAACACCGCCCATTTTTTTGTGCTAAAATGAATACGCTTATGATTATGAAAAGCGAACGTATTACAGACAACAGAGAAAGACCAGTATTCCAGAAATCAAGATGAATGAACACACCACAACCTGATCACAGTGGCACAGCTGTTAAAGTCTGGCATAAATTCAAAAAGGAGGACTTAGCAGCTGAAACTGCCTCCTGCTCCACCCACACTTCTCCTGTGACCTCCACTGGCACACCTGCTTACCACACACATAGGAGATGCTGCCCTATGCAGTGATCTCAGCCAGGCTTATCCTGCTCCCTACTGCAGCACCCATGAGCTCTGACCCTTGCCAGCAGCACCAAGAGGTGAATGGGATACCGTCAACAATAGAACAATACTTCGGATTTTATAAATCCTCCCCTCATTAGGAAAATGGACTATCTATGCTAACTGCATGGAATCAAACAGCAAATGTTGCTGCTGTGCATTACTTAAAATTTGCTCAATTGTCACATCACACCACAACTGCAAACCAAAGGCTTTAAAATTTATCCTGATATACCTGGAAGGTTTCCATTGTTATCCACATCATCGATACAAGCTCCCCATCGAACAAGAAGCTGCAAACACCCTAAACGACCATGAAAAGCAGCATAATGAACAGGTTTCCAGTCATTCCTGTCTGAAACATTTACACTCTAAAATGAAAGCAGCAGGTTAATTAATTCACTTCTGAATCTTAGACACACGAGAAATTTTATATATAGCAATTGGATGTTCATTGTGTTATATTATTTAAATCAAATCAAATAGCATTTTTCAAAGTTCATGCCATATATGCAGTTCCCATTCCAAGACTTCTCACACTTTTACTTAATACACTTATAAAAGGTGCATTTTTAGAGATATTTTATCATCATAATGATCTGCATTGGTCATTATTCTTTAAATATGCAACTGGATTTTTTTTTTTTAAGTTTTTGTCTCCTTTACTATAGAAGATTTGTACAACTGCAAAAAATTAACACCACCCCAGCCCCTGATCTTCATTTAAAGACATCCTCAGTGGAATGTGATTTACTTACATTACTGATTATCTCTAGATTTTTGAATCATTTCCCTAAATGTATATTACCATTTTAAAAATGGAAATTTACCCTAAAAATAAATTCACCAACACTGATCCTAAATCTCAGTTTAAGCTAGGGAGAGTTTTGTTTGGGAAAAGCTACCAGCCTCTCTCTGCACTAGGGCACTGCAGGTAGAAGTGTCTCACCACTCCACTTCTCAGTATGGTCTGCAAAGTGTAGGACTGCCCATGGGCTGCAGCCAAGTGTGCCGGCGTGCACCCACGGTCATCCCGAGCTTCTGCATTTGCTCCATTTATTAATAAAGCCTAAAAGAAATGCAAAGCAGAAGTTCACAAGCTGAAAAAGCAAACACTGGATGGGTTATGGTGATCAGCAGGACAACTCTGGGCTGATCTCAAGGTTTTGGCATTGCACAAAATAATCTGTTTGTACAGACAGTGCAAATAAGTGCACTGGTTTTATAATGAGTGACTTCATTCCAGATGTCAAGACACCAAGATGAGCTACTCATAGCTCCCTTAGGAGCTTCCTCAACTGATCTTCATAATGAATTTGTCCAAAATCAAGGTCTGCCCTACATACTTTTGCTTGAGAGTGAACGTTTACATGTACCTGCATGCAGGCATCCTGCCCTCGGATGGCCGCCAGGTGAGCCGCTGTCCAGCCTCTGACAGTCACATGAGTTGTGTCAGCTCCATGCCAGAGCAACCAGTGAAGGCACTGCTCAATCAAAACCGAAGTGGCTTTTATTTAGCTGTTCATATCGTATATCTGAGGCACATTTTAACTAGAATTTATCTGTCAATTTTACATTTCAAAACAGTACTGTAATACTTCACTTTGGAAATGAGACCCCAGAGCATGCCTTAGCCAGATATTTGTGCATTAGAAAGTTACAGGTAAGTTACACTTCCCAGGTTTTACCCAAGGGTACAAAATGTGCAAATAGCCTACTAAATCAGACCCTAGCATTGATTTTACAATATGGCTTCCTAATTTTACTCTTCCTGATTTAAAATGTAATCTGTGAGAATATTCACATGGCTTGAGGTAAAAGCATTGGAAAAAACAATGCAAACATCCTCACACGAATTCCAGCTAAAATTGCTGGTAGGCAAAATATCATGAACTAAATTTAAAACCTCATTTAATTTATTAGGCTCCTTAGCTGTACGTAATCCCATCTCTCTTCTCACTCTTCCATGGCCTAGTTTTGTTTTACTCACTTCGTCCAGCAGGTACTATTGCTTGCAATGGAAGGCTTTATGGACTATCCAGAGACAGCTAGAGGGACAGTTAAAACTTTTTATTATATATTATTATAATTTATTATTTTGTTTCAGGCCATCCTTCAGTTCTGGTTCCTCCACTATTTCTACCAAGGAGGTTAGAGACAAATAGATGGCAGATAATTGAAAAAAGTCTAATATATCAATTGCAAAGTAGAAGAGTCAAATGCAAAAAGACCTAATTTATAGAGGCAGAAAAGGGGGGATAAGCAATCTGGTTGTGAGGCTGATAAAATGATGATTAGCATTTTCTTGACAGTTTCTCTACACTGCAGAAGTAGCACTGCACTTAGTATTTCTTGAGTTTAGCAAGAACTTTCCATACTTTTCTTTGGGACATGAATGACATTCAAGGTTAGATTGCGATGAAGACGGAACACGGAGGCTGCAAGAAGAAGGACAATGCCGTGTTGAATACAGCAGTTCAACCTTTCTGGAAGTTCAAAGCATTCATGCAAGCACCTGCTGATTTCTTCATCATTATTTAACACTTTGATTTATTAAAATAAAATATATTAAGACTACTTCTATAGAGAATGAGGCATGGAACGCTGGTAAACAGAATGAACATGTTTTCATGTCACTTTTCATCTGTCTCAATCACCTTCAGAACATTTTACACATTCTGTAGGATTTTTTAAGTCCTTCAAGAGAAGAGAAAAACACAATAGGGACAAAAGGAGGTCATGAGTATGGAAGGGAGGCCATAAGGCACATTTTGTTGAGTAAGAAAATCAGTGATTTAGTAAAATCTGACAAAGCTGATTAGGTGAAATGCCTGGGGCTTCAGAAAAAAAAAAGGAAAATCTAAAATCCTGTACTTCTGCTCTACATGAATATATTTAATGAGAAAAGCAGGCAGAGATTATTGATTCAGTTTGACCTAAGCCAGCAATGTTGTGTCCAGCCTCTCCCAAAGAAGGAAATATGAACTTACAAAAACCTGGCTGTGTATAAACACTAATGTAATGTTTTACCTCCAGACTTCCAGAGTGGGCAGCACAATGCAAGGGTGTGAATTTGTGGACTACATCCACCTCGTTAACACCAGCTCCGCTTTCAATCATCAATGCAAGCTGTTCTACATCACCAGCTTTTACTGCTTCATGTACACTAGTATAATTTTGCTTCTTCTCGACAACTAGTGAGGAAAAATAAAGAGCATTAGTCAGTTGCTTAAATCAGCAACATTTAAGAGATAGGTAATCAGTGAGGAATCAAAGAAACATCAGTGTGACAGCTTCACAAAACCAACTAAAATCCCCAGAGTAACATATGATTTAGATTCATATGGAATTCCTAAGTCACTGCTGTTTGTCAGGAACAAAACAATATGCCAAAACCTGAGACACTCATGCCCTTCCAGCCCCAGTAAAGGGCCCAAGAGTAAAACCCAGCAGAAAAATTACAAGAAGCTCAGCAAGAGCAGGAGGTAGAGATACTTCATGTTAGCAAGTGCCAGGCCAGGTCCACCCCAAAACTGTCTCTCTATTCTTAAACTGTGGGTGGGCATCACAAACTCTTTCATTAATCACATTTACAAATATAACACCAGGAAGGCTTCTCACTTGGGCAAACAAGCTCTCAGCCATCACTTCCCAGATGCTCCACATGCTGCTGCTGGCTGTGTAAGGACTGAGCACATCATGGCATATCACACTGGAGGGCACCAGAGCCTTCACCAAGTGAGCTTACTATGTAACTGCTCTTGACTGAGCTACACAGATCATCTTCAGGATAAACTGATGTCCAAATTAAAGGCAGTTCTTTATACAACATTTTAGTTGTCCTGTGTTGCTCTCTTGATAGAATTACACTTTTGTTCTGAGACAGCTCACTTTTCAGCAGTATGGTATTTTGCTCCCACCAAAGTCAGTAACATTTTCAGTGACCTCAGTGGCACAGAATGAAACTCTAAATGTAGAAGCAGTAGGGTAAAAAAAAAAATTCTGTCACCAGGCCATGGCATCAAATAACCTGTGTCCTTCCTCCCTTCAGGCTTTTCCACTGATTAACTACATGACTGGAAACAATGGGAGTTGCATATCCAAACCCCCTGGCAACATCTTGATATCTTGACAAAAACTTGTAAATAGAAATGTGAGATGTAAGCAGATCTAATGACTGGGGAGACTAGCTTCAGACAGCCAAGCATGAAAGGAACCTAAACCAATTAGTATTCACCTTCTGCAGTAGTCATCATTCCAGTACCAAAACGTACTAACACTGTGTGATTAGATTTCACGCTGTTAGAAGTCCTGAAGAGGTGGGCTACTGTTTTGCAAGTGAAGCAAGCATAAAACTGCAGGTCTTAAGTTATTAAGTGTCTCAGCTTCTCCACCTGTGGAGAAGAAATGGTAGTAGTAGACTGTTACACAATTTGATGTAAAAAGTATTAAATAATATAAATGTGACATTGCAGGAACATGTTTGTAATATATATAAAAAAGCACTAAATACAATTAAAAGCAGCCTGCGCAGCTTACCTGTGCCTGTTTTCACGTGGTCTGTAGTGTGATAGTAGTGCTCAGGCAGATTTGGGTTTCCAACAGAGAGGAAAGAAGAGCTGTTTCAGTACTCCAGGCTGACAGGAACACACCCTGCATGTGCTGTAACACACCATCAATCTTGTGAATGCGTATAACTCTACTCCCTACTCCCCTGCTCCCCTGATGCAGGCTGCATCATTGCTTCACTTAGAAACTGTGACTCCATCCTTCAAAACATTGTCTGAACAAACCAGCAGCACAGAAACACAGAATAATTCTGGCTGGAAAGAGCTTTGGGGGGTCATCCAGTTCATGTTTCTGAATAATAGTTAAGAATGTTTTGTTGTTTGAGTTGTTTGGTTTGGGTTTTTTATTCTTTGGGGGGTTTTTTGTTTGTTTGTTTGTTGGTTGGTTTTTTTTTTGTTTGTTTTGTTTGGGTTTTTTTTTAAGAAACAGTATCACCAGGATATAATTTTCCCATAAGGGAGTAATTTCTCATTATAGCAAGTGAGAGACAGATTGCAGCCCAATTATACAACTTTAAATCACAGGCAGACCTGGCTGATTACACTACTTGGCAAAATACTAATGTGTTTAACACAGTGTTACAGTGCAGCAACTTCAAGATCTTTTTTGTGGGTTTTTTTTGTTGTTGTTTTTGTTTTGGGTTTGTTGTTGTTGTTGTTGTTTTGGGGTTTTTGTTTGGTTTTTTGCTTTGTTTTGTTTTTTATCCAGAAGAAAGCGAACAAGGCCCACCAGCAGAAGAAATACTGTCTCCCCTCTCCCTCTGGAGACCTGCAGCTGCGTGAAGAGAGATACCCAGGGTGGATCACGGCTGCTTAAGACAAGACAAAGACAGCAGCCCTGGCTCTGAAGTTCAATAAAGAGCTGTTACCATCAGTTCTGTAAAAAAAAACATACTCATTTTCAAAGTGAACGGCAGGCTCCACAATTTTAGTGCAACTTCTGTTTAAAAAAAAAAAAAAAGAAAAAAAAAAGTTATCAAACATTTGACGTTCCAGGAGAAAACTTTGTGGAAAAAAATTAACCAACGCTTTGGAGATCAGCACCTGCCCAAAATTCAATTAAAGAGATTAACTGAAGAAGAATACGGCTCAGAACCGGGGAAAGAGGCAGCGTTAGGTGTTGCGACGGTCCCGTACCGCACAAGGACAATGGCGCGCAGCTCGCCTTTGGCCCAGCCCGGCGGGGCGAAGGCCGGGGGCAGTGCGGGTGAGCCCGGCCAGCGCCGCTCCCCGCCTTTCCCTGCGCTTCTGGCGGATATCGGAGCATCCTCGGCACGGGGTGTGTGTGTCCCGGCGGAGCTCCGGGAAGCCCGAGCGCAGAGACCGCGGCTCCGACGAGCTCATCCCACCCCGCGCCACTCAGGGGCCGCCCCCCGCCCCCCGGGCAAGGGAAGGAGAGGGAGGAGGAGCGGCCGGAGCAGTCTCACCGGCCGGAGCGGGGGCACAGCGGCCTCTCGCAGCGCACAGGGCCGAGAGCCGCTCCCTCCTCCTCCTCCTCCCCGCCCCGGCGTTGCTATGGGCACCACGTGCGCTTCCCCCGGGCTCGCCCTGCCCTTTCCTTCCCCTCCCCTACCGCGGGAGGAAAATGGCGGGCGGGGCAGGAGAGGGGTGGCCGCGGAGCCGCGGGCAGGGAGCAGCTGCCTGTGCATGGCTGTAGCCGCAGAGTGGTGGCTTTCTGCACCTCCAGGCAGCCCTGGGCTACTGCCTTCAGGGCATTCCCCAGGGAGAAGCGTAACAAGTACCAGTTCTCATCTCTGAACCACCCCGAGATGCCCTGACCAAGGTGTAGTTAACCAGTTTGTGCTCTCCCCGCTCCGTGATCGGCCTCCAGTCAAGCTGTATCTTTAATCCCCTTCTTAATTTTTTTCCCTACAATGACAAGCCTGCTCCTCAGTTCCCTTAGCCAAAATCAGCAGGTGCCTGGAAGGAAGCTGAGTTCCTTTGATGGGACAAAAAGGACCCTGCATTTCCAGAATTCTGCTTGGAGGCAAGATGAGCCTGTCCTAGTCAGATTTACAGGTGTGCAGTGGCAACTACATGGTCCAAGGGAGTTACATTTAGAGCCTAATTATCCTTGTCATTAGAGAGTTGTCATAAAGCCTCTTGCTGCAACATATAGGTCTCTTTTTTGTTTAATCTCTAGTAGACAGAATAATTTTCCCCTTTAACAGCCTTGTACATAGTTAAAGACATCTTTGCTCAGTCTCCTCTAAACTTCAATTGGTGTGATTTAGGAGAAGTTTACACTATTTCAGGACATAAAGTGTCATTTGGGCCAGTGGGCCAGGCTGCATCCCTGCTCCGGGAAGAAGCTGCAACAAAGAACACGAGTAAATTCCCCACAGCACAGCTTGCAGCCACATACACCACCCTCAGGACTAACATAACCCTGATCCATCACCATGTACTTTTGTTCCTCTGGACTGTCTCTAATTGAATAGCACTTTTAAGGCTGGTCCCTAGAACAGGGCGCACTCACTACAGCTACAACCTTAATACAAGAGTCAAAGTACTATTTGCATCTTAAAAACTGCTTGAAGCCTGAGCGTGAACATGGGAAGAAGTTTTTGCAGCCAATCACATCTCCTATACTGATTATTTCTACTCATATCATGCACTAAGAATTCTGACTCCCAAGTATTCCTACTGCAAGAGTAACACACTAGGAATTGAGTAACACACTAAGACTTGTGACACTGATCTCTTAGTACATCTGCCTCGCTCCCAGCAGCTTTAAAAATATGCACTTTGCCTAGCAGAGTGAATGAAACAAATGCATACTGTCCTAAAACACACAACTATGATTATTTCCAATCCCAAAAATGTACCAGCCAAACAGACCCATTGAAAGAAAGAGACTCACACTCAAATCTATGCTTAATTTTATTTATAACACTTAAGAAATATTAACATCTCAGGATATCTGGTTTACCATCTAAGTTCAGTCATAATAAGCAACAAAAAAGAAAATGTTAACCATGTTTCAAATGAGCATTCTTACATTCATTCCCCCCTGTAACGTAAAGAAAAGTGTTCAGCTTTCTTAAATTTATGTGTTTGACTAATGGAAAAAAAAATCATTAAAAATGTCTTAACTACCAGGCATCCTGGTTTGTTAATTTTTTTTGTTGGCACTTGTATTCACCACAATCAAGCACTCCAGTTGGTTTGTTAAATTTTCCCTTTATACCCAGAACTGTCTTCTTGTGACTTTTTTTATTATTATTATTTTGATGTTGTTGTAATTGTTTTTTGAAACATCTGGATATTTAAGTTTGTTCAAATAAGTTTAAAAAGACAAGAAATCCAGGCTTGTCTGTCTGAGAAGCTCCTTCCCTTGATAACCCACCTATCAGATAACTGAAGGAAGAGACTTGCTTTCATTTTTCTGAATATTAGGCAAAAATTCATTTTAATTAATTTTAAACTGAAAAAAGTACAGAAACACACGCTTCATTTGATGGTGTGCATAAACATTACACTCCATATATAGCAAAAATATCTTTTATTTATAATTTACATTTCAACAAATGAAAATTTTACATTTTTACATATACCATTAAATTTTCACGCATCTACAGAACTTTCACACAATGACACCTGAAACTGTGCAGGCAGTAAGAAATTTCAAATACAAAAATGTATTTATTAACCAAACAGTAGTTGAGGCCCTGCCTCAGTTGGACATTTTTATTCATATAAAAAGTATTTGCCTTCCAGAATTAACACAGCAGCTCTTCTGTAAAAAAAAAAAAAAAATTCATACCTCAGTTTATTTAAACAGATTCCTCAGGTTCTGTTTTTATATCTGTAGATGCAGGTGTGCTCTCTTCTGCACAGGCAGGAGGAGGGGTGTCATCAGGTTCTTCTTTGATTTTAGGTGAGTCACAGGACTCTTCTGTTTCTTGTTTAACAATGTCCAACATTATATTTAGTGGATTTTCTGAAGGAGTCTTGCTGGGAGATGGTGTGCAGTCGAATGATGATGTCTGCAAAGTTAAAGTCAACACAGCATTAGCACATTAAAATGACAATTTTTAGCTTTTTATCCCCTTTGCCATTTTTCAAAATGCAAACAGGTTGATGGACAGGCACTCAAAAGCTGAACTTCTGCTTTACTGAGTTCCTAAGAAAACAAATTTATTTTTTGAATAGCATTGCTTTTTTTCCAATTCCTTTGAAAAGTTAACACCAAGAAGCAATGAAATGCTTAACACATTACCATGAAGTGTTCCCTTCTATGTGCCCTCAGGGTAACTCTAATTCCCAAAGCATTAAAAATATCACACACCCCAACACCCAGCTACTTGATTTTTACAAATTTCTAAGACTACGCATGTTACTCGACAATAAATCCATCAAACCATGGCTTTGCTTTATGGCACACAAGCTGTCATGGTACGTCGCAACTAGAAACGCATCTTAGCTAATTCTGTATTATAAACTTGCCACACCCAAGGCCTCCAAGTCTTAGGCATGAAAAATGGGCAGTACACTGAACACATTTGCTCCCAGCAAAGTCAGAGATTCAAGCAAAGTGAAAACAAAATGCCTCAGAAAGTATGAAGAAGGATTCACTTACATTTTGATAATCTTCGTAACAAGATGGATGGTAAATCTGAAAAAAAAAATTATCTCTTTAAATACATAAATATAAATTATAGCAATATCACTGGTAATGAACAGAATATGTCAATTACACATTAACACACAATTCATCTAGAAAAACTGTGGTCTGAGCAGGCCAAGTATGATGTTAAAAACACCTGGGAAAAGATTTTGTGATGTTTATTTAGGAAAAGTTATCATACAGAAGCCTGGTAAATGCTGTAAATTAGAGAAGCCTGGTGAGTACTGGAAATTATTTGTGTACAGCTGCATACAGAAATAACTGAACCAATACCTATAACCATGCATAAAGACATCCATTTTTCCTTTAGCTCTGCAGGGTAAGGGAAGGCTAGTGAGCCCATACTAACAACACCAGGACTATTGAGTCCATACCAGGACTTCAGGCACTTCTGAAGGCTGAGATATCTATGTACTTTGAGGCCAGGAAAAACTACAATGGGAATCCTTCAGAAGAAAAAGAGCACTTGACCTCCCTTTTTTTCTTTTTTATCCGTATTTCTTTGGATTTTTTTACTATAAATTAGTATCAGATGTAAATAAGATCATATTACCTTTTCATCTACTCTGATAGCATTCTTCAGGTGCCACTCTTCCTCTTCCTCATCCCAATATTGTTCAAATTGTTCTTGGCAAATTT